ATCACAATCGATCAGAAATCAGAACTCATCAAATCAGAATAATCAAATAAACCGGAACTAATCAAAAAGAACTAATCCATCAGAAATCAGAACTAAACAAACCGGAACAATCAACTGGAAATCAGAACTATTCAAATCAGAATAATCAGAAATCAGAACCAATCAGTCAGAAACCAGAACTAATCAAATCAGAATCCAATAAGCCAGAACTAATCAATCACAACTAATCCATCAGAAATCAGAACTAAACAAACCAGAACAATCAATTAGAAATCAGAAATGATCAAATCAGAACAATCAGTCAGAAATCAGAACTAATCAAATTACAACTTAATCAATCAGAAATCACAACTCATCCATCAGAACTAAAATACTCTGAACATTACCCACTCATCCTGATGCAAGCTTTGGGGGACACATCCATGTTTTGTTTTCTTGGCGGGGGGGAGGGGCACTATCATTACAAATCCACCCCTCCTGAGTCCCACCAGATGGCACAGTTTTGGAGAAGGGACCCAGAGTCTGTCCTCCCTATTGGGATATATGCAGGGATGGGCTGCTACGGGTTTGCCCCGATTCGGGCGAACCTGTAGCTAACCGTTAGCTAAATTTATGGCAGGTTCAGCGGACCGGCAAATCCCACTCCTGGATGGCCCCTCCCACCCTACCCCTCCCCTCCCCGGAGTCCCGACGCGGATGCCAGGTAAGTGTAGGGCCCGCATAGATGCTCGGGGAGGGCGAAAAATGGGCCTCCCGGAAGTTAGAGAAGGCCGGAAATGGGCCCATTTCTGGCCTCCCAGAGGCTTGAGGAAGGCTTCTACAGGCTTTGTAGGCCGAAAACTAGCCCCGTTTCCTCACTTCCTGTTTTTCTGAAAATACAGAAAGTGACGAAACGGGGCTAGTTTTCGGCCTGCAAAGCCTGCAGAAGCCTTCCTCAAGCCTCTGGGAGGCCGAAAAAGGCCTCAAACTGGCCAAAAATCAGCTGTGAGGTGCAGTGCAGGTAAGGGGGCGGTGAGGGTGGGGTGGGGGGATTGAATGCGCATGCATAGGGGGCGTGGGGGGCACGCATTGATTTCTGGGTGCTGGCACATGAGCACGAGCGTGCAAGCGCGCATACAATTTTTGGCACAGAAACCCAAAAAAGTTAGCCACCACCATTTTCGCCCTCCCAGAGACTCGAGGGAAGCCTACAGAGCCCAGGGAGGGCAAAAAGCCCCCCCACTCCCGCCATGGTGCAGGAGGCTGACTAGGCCACGCCCCCCATGCCCACGCCCACCCAGCAACCAGGCAGAGAACCGGTTGCTAAAATCACTGAAGCCCACCCCTGGGCATATGGGATGCATCAACTCCCCCAGGAGGATTTCCCTTGGAATTGATGAATTCCCTTGGAGCTGCACTCGGCTCTGCCTCTTCAGGAAAGCTCGCGAAACTTGGGCTCTCCCAGCCAGGGCCATTAGCAAACCCGATAACCGTTCGACCGACCGTTTCCTTGTTATATTCTCCAAGGCCTTTTTTTTACCTTTTTCCCCCCCCCCCCCCCCCCCGTTTCCCTTGGGGCTTTACAGGGAGGCGTTTGAAAAGCCAACCCTCAGCTGCTTTGGACGTGAGGTGGCCTCCTTCCAAAATCAACTGAACCAGCCAACCGACCAATAAAATTTGCAAATGGGATGACCTGATGATAGGCAGGACCTCAGCGCCCAAACCGTTTGGCAGCCTCGCTGCTGCTAAAATGCGAAGACGCTCGGCCTCCGCTCAAAACTGTACGGAGGTTCTGTTGGAAAGAAACACCCACAGCCTAAAGCAGTGAAGGCTTTTTTGTCGTCGCGTGCCCAAAGGCCACATACGCGCAGGCGTGCACACACGTGCCTGCACCCATAATGCAATGCACACGCGAACCCCCCCCCCCCCCGTACCCCCTCCCCCCCCCCCCTGCGCATGTGTCTCCCGTATGCACCCTGACCTCCCGCACGCATGTGCGGCAGATATCCAAAAATGAGCCGGCTGGCGGGAGGTGCGCGCACATGTGCAATGGAACTGAGCTGGGGCAACGGCTCGCATGCCCGCAGAGATGGCTCTGCGGGCTACTCTCGGCACACGTGCCATAGGTTCACCATCACGGACCTAAAGGATACCAGAGCCAGAACTAAATCTTTCACCAAAATGCAAAGAGTATGGGAAAAAAACAAAACAACGCCAAACTTTCTCACAATGCACAAATTTTAACCATACACTGCAGGTACTCCTCAAGTTACGACCACAATTGAGCCGCTGCTAAGTGGGACAGTCGATAAGTGACTTTTGCTCCATTTTACGACCTTTCTTGCAATAGTTCTTAAGGGAATCACTGCAATTGATCAGTTAGCAACCTGCTGGTTTAAATTAACCGGGTTTCCTCACTGACTTTGCTTGTCAAAGATTGCAAAAAGGGATCACATGACCCCGGGACATAGCAAAGGTCATAGGTATGAACCAGTGGCCAAGCCTCTGAATTTTGATCACATGATCAAAATTTCTCAGGGACACCGCAAAGGTTGTAACTGTGAAAAAGGGTCATTAAGTCACTTTTTTCACTGCTGTTGTAACTTTAAATGAACGGTCACTAAATGAACTGTTGTAAGTCAAGGACTACATGTACATACACCTACCCTACGCCTTCTTTCCCTGATACCCCTCCCCCAATTTTCTTTTTCCTCTGCCTCCCTGAGTTTGCATGCCTGGATTCCGTGCCATTTCCCTGGGCTTGCTGAGTTTGCACCGCATTGCAAGTTTCCCCCTCTTCCAACAAAGGTGCAATCTTCTCTGTACAGGTAGTCCTCGACTTACAACAGCCCGTTTAGTGACCGTTCAAAGTTACAACGGCTCTGGAAAAAAAAAAAGTGACTCAGGGCCATTTTTTCACACTTATGGCCGGGGTGGGATTCTATCGGTTCGGACCAGTTTGGGTGAACCGGTAGTTCCAGTGACCATTTGTCTCACTTAACAACAGAAAATTTGGGCTCAATTGTGGCCATAAGGCAAGGACTGCCTGTACCTGTACCTATGACAGCCGTTCTCAACCTGAGCAACCTGAAGAGGTGTGGGATTCAATTCTGGAATGGGGAATCCTAGGAGTTGAAGTCCACCCGCCTTCAGCTGGCCAAGACTGAGAGGCTCTGCCTTGCGTTTGGGTTTTGTTCAATTCAGAATGACTCCTGCTCATTTCCACCGAGATCCGAACACAAAAGAGACATTCCTCTCCTCCATTTAGCCACACCTCTATCCAACGGCCGCTTGATTCATAAACTCAGAGCATTAATTTATGGCTAACCCGGTTCCTCATTAACCGGCCTCATTGTCTCCTTTTAAAAAAATAATAATCCTGCTAACAATGTTGGACAGCTTCTCTCTAACAATGATGCTGAATTCCCAGCCGTGTAATCTGCTGCCCTCAGATGGGTAGGGGGCCATGGGAACAACAGGCACCCGGGAGGAAAAGAGATCGAGGGGGAGCCTTGGCCGACATCCAAGCTAACCCTGAGCACGCAAGCAAAAAAAGAAAAAAAAAGAAAACCAAAAACCCTGACCCTAAAATGCCCCCACTTACGTGCTCGGCTTCGCACTTCTTGTTTTTCTTCTTCTTCTTCTTGTTTTTGCCTTTCATGTTAGTATCTTCCGAATTCGCCCAGCATTCCACGCAACTGTCCCCATCCTCTTCTTTGTCTTCGCAACGGTGAATGCACGGATCATCCACTGGCGAGAAAGAGAGGAAGAAAAAAAGGGGCTTGAGCAGGGGCGGCTGGGAGGAGACCCTCCTGGAAGCCAGGCCTTCCACCCAAACTGTGCTCTCATGTCCCGAGACCAAATGGGGAATTAGCATGGACTCATTAAGGGAAAGGTTCCCCTCGCGCCTGTGTGCTACTCGTTTCCAGCTCTAGGGGGCGGTGTGTTCCTCTCCGTGACAAAGCCGAAGAGCCAGCGCTGTCCGAAGACGTCTCCGTGGTCATGTGGCCGGCATGACTAAAGGCCCGAAGGCGCGTGGAACGCTGTTCTCTTCTCACAAAAGTAGTCCCTATATTTCTACTTGCATTTTTCACATGCTTTCCAACTGCTAGGTTGGACAAGTAATGGGAGCTCACTCCGTTACACAGCGCTAAGGATTCAAACCGCCAAACCGCCAAAATTTCTGATCAACAAGCTCAGTGTCTTAGCCAATCCCCATAATTTACGTAATGGACTCATTTTGTAAACACAAATGGGCAAGGTTTCACCTCCCGTGAATGCCTTTGAGCCTTAATCTTTCCTAGGTGACTACTAACTAATAACATATAACATATGTTAAACATATGAAGAATGTCCCAAAGGTGCTTTTTTTCCCTCAAGAGGCAACTGCACTTTTTGGGTTTTCTTGGAAGACGTTTTGCTTCTCATCCAAGAAGCTTCTTCAGCTCTGACTGGATTGTGGGGAATGGAAAGATTTATATTCCTTGCAGACAGCTGTTTTCTTGTATAAGAAGCGAAACACCTTCAAAAAAAACCAGAAAGTCCAGTTGCCTCTTGAAAAAAGCAACTTTGGGACAACCATAATCTGGAGGACATATTTCTATAGTCATATGAAGAACGGTTACAGGAATCGGGCATGGCCAGGCTACAGAAAAGAAGGACTAGGAACATGAAAGCAGTAAGCAAACTATTTGAGGGGCTGCCACAAAGAGGAATTTATTCTCCAAAACACTACAAGGCAAGACAAGAAACAATGGATGGAAACTAATCAAGGAGAGAAGCAACCTGGGATTAAGGAGAAACTTCCTAACAGTGAGGACAATTAACCAGTGGAACAGCTTGCCACTAGAAGTTGTACGGGCTTCATCCCTGGAGATTTTTAAGACTCATCCTGCCCCAAGGGCCTCTTTCTGAATATTCTCTGATCTTTCTGGGATTTATTTGTTTTATTTATATCCCATTTTTATTATTTTTATAAACAACACAAAAATGTTTTATAAACAATCTTAATAATGCTTCCTCCTCTCCTTTTCCATATAACGAGCACCCTATGATTGAGAGTGATTGGCCCAAAGTCACCTAGCCGGCTTTCATGCCTAAGGCGGGACTAGAACTCACAGTCTCCTGGTGATTGGCCCAAAATCACCCAGCTGGCTTTCATGGCTAAGGCGGGACTAGAACTCACAGTCTCCCGGTGATTGGCCCAAAGTCACCCAGCTGGCTTTCATGGCTAAGACGGGACTAGAACTCACAGTCTCCTGGTGATTGGCCCAAAGTCACCCAGTTGGCTTTCATGGCTAAGGCGGGACTAGAACTCACAGTCTCCTGGTGATTGGCCCAAAGTCATCCAGCCGGTTTTCATGGCTAAGGCGGGACGAGAACTCACTGTCTGCTGGTGATTGGCCCATAGTCACCCAGCTGGCTTTGCATCAGCCTAAATCTAACTCACTATACAGCCCCTTGTCTTCCTTTATGAGAAGAACTTAACTCTACCTAAAAACTTATAATTTTAGCATTTCCACTGAAACAAAAAATGTGGCCAGGCTAAGTAGGTCAAGAAGGGGGAATAAGGGCCATTCAATTCACTAGATCAGGGGTCTTCAAACTTGGCCACTTTAAGACTTGTGGACTTCAATTCCCAGAATTCCCCAGCCAGCCTTGCTGGCTGGGGAATTCTGGGAGTTGAAGTCCACAAGTCTTAAAGTGGCCAAGTTTGGAGATCCCTGAACTAGATTGATACAGCAACCACATCATGGTCACCTTTAAGGGGTTAAACATTCCCAGAAAACATTTTCTTTTTCTGATGGGCCTTTTAAGTCAGTCTTGACTTCTGGAAGATACTCCCAAAGGGGGTAGGGGGGAAACCCAGGAAAAAAAAGAAACTGCACAAACCTTTTATAGCATTCCTACCATTTTCATCGTGGTTGCAAATCCCTTCGGTGCAAGCGA